CTGCAAAAAATGTAAAATAAATAGTTTATACTTTAACTTGTCTTTTATAACTCATCAAAGATAGTCCTCATTTCTCTATTGTTTCCACCTATTCAATCCATTCAGATCTGCTTTCCTTATCTTTCTTCATCCTATTTTCTCTCCTAGTATCTACCAAACGGCTGAGAAAACAGTAGATGCTCAAGTATTTGTTGGATGGATTTTTACCCCTTTCGAGTTCGTCCTATGACAATATCACCATTTTGTATTTACATGCAAATATTGGAGCTTTAAAAATTACACAGTGTTTTTTTCCTCTCTTCTAAAGCTAATACTCCAAATCTAAAATGTTTACATCCTGGGGTTACACAAAGGGGATCAATTAGCATATAAACTCCTTGGATAAAAGATTATTGGTTATATAAGGCATTTTGTAATTTGTATTTGTTTTTGAATCCTACTCCTTATGAAATGGATTTAAAGGGCTATCGGCTTTAGTTCTAAAAAAATGTGAAACTGATAGAAAATTTGAAATGCTGGAAACCCTAGTTTTCTCAGAACAAGAATTTAAAAGTATTATATCTCTTTTTAAAACACTTCTCCAATTTAAGAACATTTAATAAGATTAGGAACAAAAATGTACTACATAATCCGATATATTCATATACTGAGTTTTTAAAAAAATAATAGAACATATTTATACAATTACCAATAATTTTTAAAGTATTTAGTTCTTATTTACAAAGAGAGCAACAGGAAATTATTATATTTTAAGTAACCTAGCACCATTTAGTTTGGGGCATTTAGTTAAAGGCGAGAGTCAGAAAAGAAAACTTTCCATAGTATGGTAAAATAAAACTAAAGAAAGTGATGTTTTCAGAAATTGGTGTATTCTGTAATGTCAAAAATACTCAGAAGGTACTCAACTAACAAAGGTGAGGAAACGATGAAAGGCAGGGGAAAGGAGGAATGGGAATCTAAAAGTAATTATATTTTTTCCCCAATGGAAACTTTGTTTGACTAGGCTTATTTTTCAAGATGCCACTTCTGGCAGTTTTTGCTTCTTCTGATGCTTTGTTTCATCATCTTTAGGTCGTTCTGCCAGCACTTAGACAAGGCAGTGTTAGCATACATGCTACAGTGGGATCAAGAAACCTGACTTGGCGTCTGGTCTTTGTGACACCAGCTCACCGGGCTTCACTGTGACACCACCACACTGGACTGGCAGTTTTGAAGGGGGCTCTCACTGGTGATCCACACCTCCAGAGCCCCTGTGGAGACGCTGAGCAAATGGAGCTTTGGCCCAACCCCCGATTCCTCCAAAGGAGTTCCACACTGTCCTTTTTCATGTATCAAGAATCCATGTAATATTTCATTTGGTAAAATAAAGGTGATGCTGTTTAAAAAGAGGTTTAGAAACCTATGAACTAAATAGATAACTGTTCAAAAGTCATTTTTTTACCCTAGCATGCTATAAATCTATAGTTCCCTGAAATTTTTAACTTTCGCTTTTGTGTATTTCAGAGTAGAGACTAATTTCTCTGTCAAGGTACAGAGGAAGCTAAAGGAGGCAAAAATTAAGAATCAAAGGAAGTGTCATCTGAACTCCACGCCAACTAAGGGAATTTGCTGTGTGTCACTGAAAGCATTCCCTCAACCTCACAGCAGGTTCTAAGTCCACTTCTCATTTCATCAGGCAAGGCAGTGTGGCTCCCCCATATCCTTCACACGTTCAACTTTCAATTTAGCATCCAAGGGATTAATGCAATATAAATACAGAAACTTTAATAAGACACTGGAAGAGACTTATCCTAAAGTTAGTCTTTTACTCTCTTAAAAGTGTATATATATTTACACTTTCTAGGATAAAATGACTTTATCCTAGAAAATTAGAAAAAAATTATATAAGAGTATATTAATTCAAATGCAATTATTTCTACAGAAAGCTTTATATGTAATTTTTCCTGTTGTAGAGTTTTTAATATGTTATTTTGGGGAGTTAAAGAAATCTAGTAATACCTATTAAAGTTTTAATAAGGTTAAACAGTCAGTTTACTTTTTGCTTGTAGGGGGAAGAATGAGAAGGAAGGAGGTACAGAATAGAACTTAAAATTAAACAAAAACTTTTATCGTCTTTGACTTTTTCCTTCTTTTTTACAAAAATAAATATCTTGATTCCGGACAGGATTAGAAAGTTACCCCCACGAAAGGAAAAGCAATCAAAAGTTTGAGGGGTTAGAGTAGCATTTTCATATTTTATAATGTTACCACACACTAAAGTATACTACTTTTCAGCTTAATACTGAATTTTTAAAGCACTCTCAAAAATTTGTTATGTGCTTGATATAAACTTCATTTAACTTTGAAGGAGTTCATGAGTTAATGACGTTTTGCTAATTCACTATTATATGCAGCCTGAAATTCATCAGAATGATTTCATATCACTTAGTAAGCAAAATCTTTCAAAAAAAGGTGGAAGTGCTTAAGGATTTTCCCTGAAGGATGAACAGAAGTCACAATAACTGTGCACACTCCCTCCCCAGTGTCCATAGGGAAATGGCCACTGTCCAGAAGCTTCGCAGAGGTGCCCAGGCACCCTGATTCCCAGCTCTGACGAGGAAACAAGGAGTAGGACGGCACCACTGCAAGCCCGAGCTGGGCCAGGAAAGAGCTCAGAAACTCAAGGCAGGCCCCGCCACTGTCTGGTGAAGAAATGTGAGGAAGATGCCCAATTCATTCCCTCCAGGACTTGCCCGTGTGTCAAGTGGGTAGGTGGGCCTGGCTTCGATCCCTCACTGTTTCAAAATGCTGGGGTGAGCAGAACACCCACCTGCAGTTACTACAGTATTAATGCCAAAGATCTCTATAAGGCCAGCCCAACAGCTGGACACTGAGACCAGGCAAAATATGTATAGATCCTGGAACAGGAACTATCTTCTTAAGAAAATAGTCTTGGCTGACCAAGGCTGATCCCTCCTAAAGTCAACTGGTCAGTGTGGTCAGTGTACATGTAAGATAGGCAACGGGCTCCAAGGACAGCTGAAGGGCGTCTTTAAAGAGAAGCATGGACTGTTCCAATACCCTGAGCCACTCTGTCTCAAAATAATGGGAACGTTTCTCATTTATAACTGGCCAGGACAACATGTGGTTTCCTTCTCTGAAGTGTTTCTGGCATTTGCTGAGGCCTATCATTCGTCCCTGCACGTCAAGTGACTGGAATGTACTTATAATAATGTAACTGCTCCTCAGAGGCATCTGGACTACAGCTGCCTGTCACATAAGACACACATGCAGATGCATAAACCGCATGTAATCCCTTTTCCTACCTCTGCTAAAGCCCTGTTTCTCTTAACGCCACAGGAACCTTCTCTTCTCCCGGGCTGAGAGCTACTGCCAGTCTGCATGGAACGGGATGAGTTCCTGGGTCCCTGATGAACAACAGGTACAATGCAAGGGCTGCCTTGGTCCAGCACCAAGGGCTAGTTGATGATGCAGAAATGTTTTATTTCCCCCCTGGGATTTGGAAGCCAACTAAAAGGCTACTTCAAAGTCCACTGCTTTTTTCCCCTCCAAAGTGCTATTTATAAGAAAAAAACCAAAACTGCTTTAAGAGAAAGGAGGAGGGTTGTTTACATCAAGAGGGGCTGTCTCCTTTCAGGGGTAGGACATGTCTAATTCAGTACCTGTATCTGTAACAAGGAAACACTATTAAACCCAGCTGGGACTCTAACAGCAAAGTGATTCTGTGTGGCCTCCAAAGCAAATGGGCCATGAACCCCAATGTTGTGAGGCTTGGAGAGAAAAAAGCAAAACCTGGCATTAGTGAATTAATGAAATTCATACCTGCAGAGCTAACAACTATTCATTCTAAAGAAGTCACCCCTCCCCACAAGTACGGATGAGGGCCACCACCAGTGGCGTTGCGGAGAGACAAGCACAGTAAGAGGGACACTGAAGACCAAGAACTTGGAGATGGGCAAACTGTGCTGAGGGAGCTGAACAAGTTGAACGAGTAGCACCGAGGCAGGCTGGTCTCCTCCAGAATGAAATAATGGAGCAGCGAAAAAAGCTCTACCCGAAGCTCCCGAGGGTCCTTAGACCCCTAAAGGACTCTTTTGTGAGTTCCACACACAAGCAACAATGGTTTCTCAGGCTTTGTTTATTGTAACTAATTTTATACACACAATGGAAGGGGAGGTTAAGAGCATGGGTTTTGGATTAAGGGAAGTCTAGATTTAAATATAAATGTAGCCATTTTGTAACTATTATTCAAATTCTCTAAGTATCAGTTTCCTCATCAGTAAAATGGAAAATTTATTCACTCTCCTAAGACAGTTATGAGGAGTAAATGAAATAACAACAATGCATGTAAAGCTCTTAACACAGTGCTCAAACTTCAGCTATTATTACTAAATTTTGAAAAATGAGACCCGCTAGTATCACTTACTTGTGGTAATTCTCCTTTTTCTCATCTCTCCAGTTTTTATTTAACTGGTGTATTTTCACAGCTACATATCTTTGTTCTGTTAGATCAAATGCCTATGAAGAAAAGGAATAAATTATATTCTGAATGTATTACCGAGAATTACAGGCAACTGACTTGAAGCCTCTATTTAACAGATAAACATACTCGAAAGTCCAAAATGCATTATTAAATAAAAACAGCAGTGGAAGACAACGCATCGCATACTTGCTTCGGAGTAGCAACCATCTTCTTGAAATCTGTGATCAGACAATTTAGAAGTCTCCAGACAAACTGGCACCAAGGGGGTTAGAAAATAAAACCAAGCATATACCACAAACATAAAGACAGCCCATGCATGCCATTACAGTCACTTCCAAATAATTCTCTTTCTGGACATCATCTACCCTATATGGGACTCTTCTCCCTTAGGTTGTCTTTTGTCCCTCAGCTGACACTGGGACTTGACATGCTGTAACAGTAAGTCCTGCCACTTTTGAAATGCTGGGAACATAGATCGTCTGCCTTCTTGAGAAATAAACCCTGAGGATATACCTCTTTGTTGTGTTTGTTTAGAAAATAACCTTGTCATTTATTATATTGTGTTTGTTAAAGTAAACAGAAACAAGAACTGAAAAACAGCTCTGCCTTTAGTCCCACTCATATATGCTGGGTAAAAAAGCAGTTTTGATCCCAACAATGTCTGAAGTTAGTCACATGAAGTCACTTCTCCAGCCACTGTCCAAAGAAAGGGACATGCTTTCCCCAAACACCACCACTGTTGGCAAGACCCACGTCAGCTGTGTAGTGCTAGATCACAGGAGCAGCGAATGGGTTTTTGAGGATATCAACTGAGAGAATATTCACAACTCATTCTAGGACAACTATGACAGCTAGACCACTGAAGACAACTATGGGCCAGTCCCACTTACGGATGCAGATTAAAAAATATGAATACAATACTAGAAAATCAAACCCAGCAGTACACTAAAGACAATATTATAGTTCTGGAAATGGAGAGTGATGACAGTTGCCCAATACTGTGAATGTACTTAATGCTACTGAATTGCACATTTTAAAATGGTTAATTAAAATAAATTTTATGTATACATATATCACAATAAAAAATTAACATTAAAAAAGGAAAACCAGTAGATCTAGTTTTTACTGTTTTTACTTTAAATAAAAACTATTTTACACAAAAGATTTCCCACATATAAATCCAGATGGACATACTATAAATCATAACAGTGAAGGCTACACCTTAGAAAAGAGAATTATCAGGGTCACACGCTAAAGACCACTTAAAAAAACAAATTCTACATTTAAAAGCCAGGTGCCAGAAACATCTAGAGAAATTTAAGGATGCTGTGGCTGGTGAACACATTATGGATCTGTAGCTATATTTAAAACTGGCTGAATTCCTCATTTTGAAAAAATCAACTGGAGGCACAGTGGTCTATAGTTTCCTGGCCAAACTAAAGCACTCTAAGCAAGGGCAAACTTTCAAAATGCCAGCGCTACTTAGAAGATGAGACTGTTTTTAAAAAGCAGGATTTTGAATAAGAATTAACTAACATTTTTATTGTTAAAAAATTTTTTATGAGATAAAAGTAACACACGCTAACAAATGCAGAAAAGACAGAAAGTATAGAAACAGAATAAAAATCACCATAATTTTTATTCTGCTACCCAGAAATTAGTGGTGTTTTCCTTCCTGTTTTTAAAAATCTATAATTATTTATTTTTCAAATTTGAAAACTTGGTAAAATATTGTATCCTGCATAGTTACTGAAGTTTACTAAAAGCAGTTCCCCCAAAGATAAAGTTTCCAAGGTTCTTAAAGTTTCTGAATTTCAACTAATAGAAATCAACCCACAGCTACCATTATTCTAAATGTTCTCTAAGTTGGTAACGACTAATAATTTAACCCTCGGTTTTTGTACCCAGTTCTTCATACTTACCTTGTAAACTTCACTGAAACCTCCTCTACCCAAAAGATGTAACAACAAATATCTGTCATTTAGCGTTGGATGATCTTTAAATCTGTGGAAAGGGAATATATAACATCCTGAGGTCAAAGACTACACAATCTTCCATATTTATAAAATTTCCAGAATATCTAACATGTTATACACGATTATAACTGCTGCTGATCAATATATCTAATTCTGAATATAAAGTAAGTTATGTAATTCAAAAAGACAGCATAATTACAATGAACAGCATTAGCTGTAGAGTCATGAGACATAGGTGCCAGTCTCAATGCAACCACAATTAGACCTGTGACCTTTGTTGGCCTTCCTCCCTTTCTGCCCTGCTATAAAGTGAGGGGTGTAGACTACACTAGGTCGGGGATTTTCAAACTGTGCTACTTGGTTCTTCCAAACCATTCAAGAGCCACATGCTCCCACCATTACATAACTACATACAGCAAAATTCCAAGATATTTTACATGGCCTTAAAAACAGATCTGATTATAAAGTGAGTCGTGTGTTGTATGTGCAGTCGCTTTAAGAAAGTGTTCATGATATAACTGTTTCCCCCGTATAGGATACCATCTTGTACTGTTTTTTAATAAGACAAAGAAATGAGACATTCTGGCAAAAAATAACTGTAAAAATATTTCTATCTAGCTCCTGATCTTAAATAGCCCCACTATTATTCCTGAAATTATTCTGATCTGAGATAGCGCTGTGCCTGTGGAGAAAGACAACATGTCTGTAAGGTAGTTAGTTTTGGAATCAGACAGATCCAAGTTTAACTCTGTTTGGTCCACTAATTATGGGTTCCTGCTCAAGTTAACTGAACTTCTCTAGGCCTGTTTCCAGATCTATGTATTACTGAAGGTGACCTATCCCACTGGGCTATCGTGAAAATTAAATGACAGAACATAAAGGCACTTACACTATGTCTGACAGAGAGACAATGTTTAGTAAGGTAACAGCTGTTGCCTGCCAGTTTACAAAAAGAAAAGTCTATGGCTCATACCGGCCGAACGAAAATACCGAAGCTGTAGCTATGTCAAAAAAATCATGTTTCAGAGTCAAAAAAAAATGTAGGAAGGAACAGATGATGGATAGAAGCCATTTTCCACTGTCTACTGCTCACAGTTTGAATCTCTTAAATGACTTATAAACAAAGGTGGGTATTTATCTAAATTAATGTGCTGAACTTAACAGAGTCTTGATTAAAATCTCAACAGCTGAATGACCTCTAAAGATCATTCAGAAACTGGGTGTCATCTCAACCCAACAGTCTTTCTGCAATACTCCACTGTCAGCCATGCTTCCCTTAAGTGAAGCTCTGTAGATAAATCTGAATATACAGTATATCACAACCATTTACAACTGCTGAGGTATGTTGTTTTAATGACCTCTACTTGTGTAAACGTGCTATATGTATATATAATACATAAATCTAACATATTGAGTCAAATATGTGGACAGAAAGAAATCAAATTATGGGAGGTGAACGCACAGTGTAAATACCTATATGCCTTACTGTTAAAAGTGTACAGATGAAACTTATTGGATTTAGTTAACCAATGTCACCATAAAAAAAATCTAATGTATTTAAACTACAGCAAATCATAACTTTGTCTATAAAACTGTATTATATCCTGTTAATAGAACTAAATACACCATGAAATCAATGCACCCAATTTATATTAAACAAAAACATCATTTAGATCATTCAACTCATGTCAGAGAGTGCTCAGCAATCTCCAACCCAACATATTCCCAAATTGCTTACTGTGAATTATCTTCATTATGTATCCTTTTTAGTTCCCTGATATGTAGATTTCTAACCCTTTCTAGCCTTTCCAGCTCTGCCTGGATCTCTGCTTCCTCCTAAAGTGAAAAGGAAAGAAATAGCTCAGAACACAAGAAACTTTACCTTTCCAAAATCTCATTTCAAAAACAAGAGCAGACTGTTCTCTCGTGAAAAGTTAAAGGAAGATGTTTTGCATTAAAAAAAAAATCTTTTAAAGAATTTTAATCATAAAAACCAAGCCTATAACAAATAATAAGTAAAATTCAAACCATATAGAGTAGTATAGTAGGAAAAGTAAGAGTTCTCTGCCTCCCTGCTCCCGCTTCCCCAAGCCTACTCCCCAGATGTAACCACTGTTAAGTTTCCAGAAATGTTCTGTATATATATACACATAAGCATGCACCCATTTAAAAAAAAAACAACAACAAAAAACAAAATTCAGGTTCTCTATCTGGTCCTGTTCTGTAAGTATGGATTATACTTGGTGCCTTAAGTTCCACTGATTTAACAAGATATGAGAACCACCTAATGGGAAAAAAAGAAAATACACACCAATAGCAATTTATTAAATGCTTATTGACCTTCATTATGATAAGCAGCATCCACCAAAAATGTATGAGTTGCTGAATTAGAGATGAGAGGTCTACATCTAAGATGCTTTTGTGAACATCATCAATAATAAATTCTACATAGGTGCCTTTGTGTTACAATATGGTTTAGGCAAGAGATAAGAAGCTGCTATGTGATTTAAAACATCATAAGAGTTTTAACATCATTTTGGAACGATCTACTCCTATTGTATATTTAATTTTTACTATAAGGATAACCACTTGTGAAGTCTTTTGAGGTGTACAGAAATATCTACTGGTACCCTTGTAGGAAAAGTACTCTCCCCGGGCTGGAGTTGATTTGAAAATTGAAAGACATGACTTCCACCATTAGAATACAAGATATGACAGAGTAACAACTCAAAGATTTCTGCAAGTCTATGAAACTATTACATTCGTCCAAATAATCAACTTGCTTCCACACCAAATGTAAACTAAAAATTGCATTTCTGATCATACTTACCTTTTTTAGATGACCTAATCTGAGTTTGAATATTTCTTCTTGTTCATGGTATTCTGCTAATGTTAACCTGGAAAATAATAGTAGAAATTTCCAGAATTTCTTTGAAATCATAGTGCACCTATCTAAAG